CCCCGCGCTCCACCGCTGGGCATCAGTGACGTGTGGCTGCTGCGTGCCATTTTACAGGCGGGACAACTGAGTCTCCCCAAGGTTACACAGCGAGCTTGCTGAGTCTTAGTCTCCAGGTCTCCCTGGCTCGTGCCCAGGCTCTCAGCGGCCGTCCACTGCTGTTTCTATCCCCCAGGAGTATCCCCAGGAGGATTCTGGTTTCTGTTGCAGCCGGGAGAAGCTGCATGCTGCTCCTTGCCCCAGTCCCACCACCTGCAAAGGGGTGCGCGCTGCTAGGAGGAGGTGGGACACGCAGGGAGAAGCCCTGGCACCGATGGGGTCTATGCCCCGGCGCTTGGACACCTAGCACCTGGTGGGAGTCTTTGCTCATGTCAGGCGCCTCCTCCCTGCCGCGGTGACCCAAACTCAGACAGTTGAGCCGGGCCGCCGGCAGGCCCTGTGCATCTCAATCACGCCGGTACCTGTCCTCAAGGGTTGCGCTACGGTTCAGACCCGACTGCAGGCGCTCCAGCGGGGGCATCTCATCCAGACCCGGAATACCGCCGCTCGGGCTGAATCTTGACGAATGAATGAGAGTTGGCTAGCTGAAGAAGGTAGGGAGGGGTGTCCCCGGCTGTGGCGACTGCGGGGACAAGGCAGAGGTGGGAAGCGACCTGGGGCTGTACAAGGAACTCCATGGAATTGGGCACCACTAGAGGGGAACGAATAGCTGCTCAGAAATGGCTCCTTCTGTCATCTGGGGCAGGAAAGCCACCCTCCTAGCAGCGCGCTCTCCTTTGCAGGTGGCACCGGCATGTGTGGGCTTGGGATGGGGAGTGGGACCGGGGCACGGGGCAGCATGAGGCTCTCTGGGCTGCAATAGAAACCAGGAAAGCCTCCTGGGGGCTGGGAGGGCAGACAGGCGCTGGGATGTGGCCACTCTTTATCTCAGGGACCAACTGCTGGACGTTCCACCGCTGCCCTTCACACCTGCACCCAGACTGCGTGGCACACTCCTACCTACCCTTCAAGGTCCTCCGCTGCATACCCAGAACCTTCTGCTGTCTCCACTCTCTAATCTGAGCCCTCTTAGAGGGCAGGGGAGGTATGGCACACACTGCGTCCCCCACATCAAGCAGGGTCCCAGCTCTGCGTCGGTGCCACAAGAGCCCTCCCCAGTGCCCCGCCCCCTCCAGGCGGAGACACGACGGCCTCCGCGCCCTCTGGTGGATCTGGCGCGCAACTGCAGAGAACTCTGCCTGCCGCTCCAGTCTCCGCGGTTCCCTGAGGTCGGGCTCTGGTAAAGGTCTACCTCTTCAGCTCCTGCCCAGGAGACTGAGCAGTGCCCCCAAAGACTGCCAGGCATCGAGCGGCAAAAGGCATCTTCTGGTTCCATCTGCGTGACTTCCCAGTCTGCTGAGGGCAAGTCACCACCTCTCTGAGCTGCTGTTTCCCACTGACAATCCCAGGGCATGTCTGCATGGGCACTCCCTCCTTCTTGGGACCCCCATGTCCAGCTGTATTAGCTCAGAAAGGGATTGAGTTCTAAAACAGTTGCCCTTGGAAGACTTTTGCCCTTCCTGGGCAGATGTACACTGGCACGGGTTTCAGACTGAGCTCAGTTGCTGCCATCATAGAAGATGGAATGACCTGGGCTGAGGGTCATGGTGGACCACACCACCTGGATACTTGGTCTTTCTTTAGATCAGTGCAGTACAACAGAGCATTTCACCACAGTGGAAGTATGAATAGCTGCACTGTCTGATACAGTAGCCACTAACCCCATGTGGCTACTGAGTGGTTAAAATTGTGGCTGATAGGACTGTGGAACTGAATTTTTAATTGTTATTTGTATTGATTTAAACTTAAACAGTTATGTGTTGCTTGTGGCTACTGTGTTGAACACTGCAGAGCCAGAAAAGCCATCACCTCCTTGCTGAAATAGAGCCCAGGTAAGCCAGGCACAGCTGCATGCACCTGTAACCCCAGCTACTTGGGAGGTTGAGGCAGGAGGATCACAAGTTCGAGGCCAGCCTCAGCAACTTAGCAAGACCTTGTCTCAAAATTTAAAATAATAATAATAATAATAATAATAATAATGGCTCGAGGTATAGCTTAATGGTAGAGCCCCCTGCATTCAATCACCTGCACTGCAAAGGTCCTCTGCTGCATACCCAGACCAAAAAAAAAAAAAAAATTAATAGAATTCAGATAGACCTAACACACA